ATCTATGTATCCCCACCTGGTCTTGATTTACTGGTAATGCCTAGATCTCTTGCTTCCTCAGCAGCTACATGGTGTCTCCCTGACTCTGCCTACTACCTTTCTCTGTCCCTGTTTGGATTTCCTACCTGGCTAAATTCTGCATGTCCATTGGCCAAAACAGCTTTATTCATCAACCAATAAGAGAAACATATATTCACAGCATACAGGAGGACACCCCCAATCAAACTTTTATAAAGGAAAACATTTAATTGAGTGGCTTATAGTGTCAGAGGTTTAGTCCACTAGCATCATGGCAGAACATGGTGGCATGCAGGCAGACATAGTCCTGGAAAAGGAGCTGAGAGTTAAAACATGTTCACCTGCAAGCAACAGGAAGTGTAGCTTGAGCATAGGAGACCTCAAAGCCCACCCCCACAGTGACACACTTCCTCCAACAACGCCACACATACTTCAAGATGGCCACAACTCCTAATAGTGCCACTCCCTGTGTGCTTATGGGGACCAATTACGTTTAAACTGCCACAGAGATTTAGTCCATTGTCATCATGGTGGGAAGTATGGTGGCATGCAGGAAGACTCAATGCTGGGGAAGGAGCAGAGTTCTATATCTGGATCAGCATGCTGCAGGAAGAGAGAGTGGCGCAGGGCCTGGCTTGAGCATCTGAAACCTCAAAGTCCACCCCTAGTGACACACTTCCTCCAAAAGGCCACACTTCCTAATGCTTGCCACTCTCTGGTGACCAAGCATTCAAATCTATGAGTCTATGGGGGTCATTCTTATCCAAACCACTACAGAGACATTCTAGATCAAGACTGTAGCAAAGCCTATGAGACTAAACATTTAGAGTACCCAAGAGTCCTAAGGTGGCCCAGGCTGTGTATTAGTGAATCACAACACCAGACAACATTAGTACAAGTTGCTCCATGGCTAGGATTTTATTGAGAGAGACCACAGTACCCAACATCTAGAGAAATTTGGGCAAGTAGACTACTCGTGAAGAGTGAAAGACAAAATTAGGATTCTGTGAGCAGGAATGGTGGCTAAGGGGAAGCCAGGGATTTTGTTTGTATGTTTGTTTTTCATAAAAAACAGAGAAAGGAGATTTATTCACAGTGACCACCTTGGAAAGAGGAGTGAAGGGGTCCTGTGACTGCCCCTGTACCAGCCTGTCTTTGAGGGTACTGATAAGAAGTTTAACTTTAAATAGAAGACAAGAGGTACTTATAACTAAGCACTCCTGGTCAAGGTGTGGTCCTGCCCATCATAGGTCATTGTCCAAGCCTCAGTTTGTCCTATGAGGTGGTCCAAAAAATTGTTAGAACTCTTCTTGGAGGGGGTGGGGAGCTTCTCTGACAGGTATCAGGGTTCCAGTTCTTTCCTTCCCCCCTCCTCCCAGCATAAATCTCTAGGGAAATTTTAATTTCTCATGGTCAATTGTTTCAATTGGGAAGGATGCAAGTGTCCTTTAGAATATCTCCTCTTCTACCAGGAAAGTTGCTGCAATCTGATAGATATGTGTAAATGGAATTTTGGTGAGTGCAAGACTTAGGAAATGTCTGTGTTTAACTACATAAAGACCATCACAAAATTGACCGTATGCTTTGTTAAAAAGGGGATATCAATAGTTTCCATAATAGCCAGGTAGTGGTGATGAACACCTTTAACCCCAGGCAGAGGCAGGTGGATCACTCTAAGTTCAAGACCAGTGTGACCTACAGAGTGAGTTCCAGAAGAGCCAAGGACACACACACACACACACACACACACACACACACACACACACGAAAAAACAAAAAACAAAACAAAACAGCAATGACAAAAACTTCCAATAAAATAAAACTTAGAAACATATAATACAAGCTAACCCAAATCCTGAAACTAACAAAAGCAAAAATTAATAATTAACTTTAGGGAAAATTACAACCAAAAATAGTTTCTGTAACTCTTAAGAGCACACAATTCCTATTAATATTTTACTAATATGATAAAAGCTAACTAGTTATCCAAATCATTTTATGAGATTAAAATAATACTGAGTTGGACAAAAAAGCCCCAAAAGTCCAATATTACTTGTGAATAAAATGTTAAAAGTTTTGAAGAACATTTGAAGTTAATCCCAGGAGTATATTAAAAAAATAATTTCTGAGTAGAAAAGTGGGGATGATTCAGTATTTGAAAAGCCACACAAATAGATTTCTTCTTTTTTTTTGTTGAAAATAGTTTTTTTTCATACAGTATATTCTGATTACAGTTTCTGCTCTCCTAACTTCTCTCAGTCCCTCCCCATGTCTCCTCCCATCTGGATCCATACTTCCCATATCATATTAGAAAACAAATAGGCATCTAAGGAATAATAATAAAATGAGTTAAAAAAAACAAAAAATGTCAAAATAGGACAAAACAAACAGAAGGGAAAGAGACAGAGAAAAAGCATGAGCAACACATACAGAAACAGAAACACACATTTGTGCACACAGGAATCCCTTAAAAACACAAAACTTGGAGTCATCATATATGAGCAAAGGACCTGTAAGGTATTAAAAAAAAAAAAAAGCCTTGACACAACAGCATGAGACAAAGAACTGCCTCCAAAGATGCTCTTGAGTTCATTTTGTGTTGGTCATCTAGTGCTGGGCATGTGGCCTACCTTTAAGAGTGGTTTCTTTCCCCAGTGAGATTCCCTTGGAGAAAAATATTATTTTCATTTGCTAGTGGTTATCAGTTTGGAGCTAGCTTCTGGGTTATGGATGGGGACCCTGTGTCCACTTCTTCTCTCAGCTCTAGAACCTCATCTGATACAGACCTATCCAGGCCCCGTGTATGCTGCCACAATCTCTGTGAGCTCATATGTGCATTAGTCTGCTGTTTTTAGAAGGCTTTATTCTCTTGGTGTCCACTATCTCGTTGGCTCACTGTGGTGAGGCCCCATTACTGAAGACAGCACCTATACAACTCATTGAAAACAGAGAAGTCAAAGTGGTGTGCCTCCCTAGGCCTTCACCATTATAGACTAAAGTCCATGCTACTAGACGGTGCTGTGCACACTGCCAAAGGAGAGAGGTAAACACCAAGTTAGCTGCAAACCCTTTGATCTACACTGGCGGCCTGCCAGCAAGCTGCACTGGTGCATTGTCACACAAAGTTTCTGGTAGTAGCCGACCAAGATCTGATTTCATTTAAGGTCCACTCAATGGGATGGAACCGATACATAACACTGCTTGGGTAGCTAAGAATCTGAGACTAGACAAGAGAAAAAGCAACTACTACTGTCCTGCAAGGAACATAGCAATAAAATGACTCCTAATGGCATTCTGCTATACTCATAGGTCAGCCAACATCAAAAAAACTGCAACAGATAGGAACAGATAACAGTATTTTCTCATTTGGATGGGAGGCTAGGAGTAGAGGAAATGGCTAGACAGGGGGCAGATGGGCTACTGAAGTCTAGGACCAAACGAAACGAAGAGGGCTGATGCTCTTCAAGATGTGGGGTGCCCAGGTGGGTAAAGATGGAACAGGTAAACCCATGGTGCTTATTCACGCTTTGTGAAACGGGAAGCCATTCCTGGCAGGCAGACGGCACATACTCTTTTTCCATCACTCATAAGAATGGGGTCAACTGCTTCCCTCTTTTCCCTTTTTTGAGTAAATGCAATGTGTTATGCCAACCCCAAAGGATCATCAGGATCCTTCTATCAGGATCATCATCAAAATTTTGTTTAGTAGCGGATTTTTCATCAGTTTCATATATATGCACATATACATATATTTTCATTATTATTATTGGGGGGGCTGGAGAGTTTGGCCCTACGGATAAAAACTTGCTGTGCAAATGTGACCACCTAAGTTCAAATCTCCAGACCACAAAATCTGGGACACCTGTAATCCCGTACTCCTGTGATGAGATGGGCAGCAGAGCCTGGCAGAATCTGTAGAAACTAGGTAACTTTATATACCTTGAAATGTTGTTTATTCATATTAGAAAGCAAGCATCTAAGACTTCTCAGAACAATAGCATAAATAATCATAAAATGAAACCGTTTTCTGTATGGGGTGATAGAAATTTAAAATGACCCTTTATAAATGTGCGGAGTGTCTGTTGCACATGTATAACCTAGGCAGATGGAGGAGAGCACACAGATGTGCAGACTGGAGGAAGACAGCACCGGGCAATGGCATCTTGAGTGATGGTAACACAAGTGATATATGATCTCATACCTACAATCATCTTCATTTTTCATCCTTTCTTTATTGAATATATAACATCTTATAATAACCAAAGATTTTTAAAGTAGGTATTAAAACAGTTTTAGTATTATACAGTCATGGCCAAATGGTTAACAGGTAATTTCTCACTCTATGAGAATGTTTACCACAATCTTAGAGCAATTAGACAAGTACAGATTAAATTATGGGCACTCCTGGCATCATAGGCTAACATGGAGGTTACCATAACCTTACATAAAGTCTTTCTGCCAGGATACCTGTCCAACTGTCTGTTTGATCTCAGACAGACAACCCCCTTTTATTGATTCATGTGTCCCATGATAGGTGGTTTCAAAATAATTTGTGTAGGCTTCCTCATTTTGTCTTTGTGAGCTTGTCCTTGCTATGGCCTTCTTAGTGCCCACACAGTTCACTACAGCATGCCTCCTCTTGTGGCAATGTCCCTTCTCAAATAATCTAAGCAGTTCATTCTAGAAGAGCTTACATCCTATCTTATTTGGGTTTACAAACTTGTAAGTGTCACTCAAAAACTAATTACTGCATTCTGTATCAGGTGGAGTTGACACTAGGTAGTATTTAATCTTCATTCATATTACTCAATCTGACAAAAGACTGAAATAAAATGTCTGTTGTAGTGCCAGACCCTGGCTTATGGCTGCCTGCCCACACTGTAAGAGTTGGCCTCCTGATCCAGGATATAAAAGCACTGCTTCCCTCCTTAACCAGGGCACAGGTGTGTAACTGCTCACTTAGAACCGTTTCTGTAGCAACCATGGCCACCTTTGTGGGACTCAGTAACAAAGCCAAGATGCCCATCGTGGGCCTGGGCACCTGGAAGGTGAGTGTACAATCTTGGGCCACCTGCTCCCTTCGAGGGCTATTTTGGCATTTCTGCTTCTTCATACAGGATCTGCCCAGGGTTTTGAACTCCAGAGCCAGAGCCCTTTTTTCTTGGGGGTGTCTCTAGGCTTCAATACTACTAGAGTGGATTTGGAGAAAGAATGATAGCTTCTAAAGCAAGTATCAAGTTGATGCTATATGTAAAACAAAAACTGGTTTCTGGGCAATTCCTCTCTTAGCACGTTTTTCCTTGGGACTCAGAAACTTCCTGTATGTTCTAAGTCTTTGTTGTTACTTTGTTTGTGATTGAGTGATTGAAAGAGAGGATAAAAATTCCAGAATGACCCAGATCCCTTTGCCGCTCCTGGGGAAGGACTCCATCTGCAGCGTCTGGCCTGGAGCCTGTGTGAAAGGCAGAGTCTCAGACCCCAGCCCTGGCTACTGAACTGGACCCTGCCCCTTACCAAGACTCCACCTTGTTCTGGCAAACAGTAAAAGCCGAGTACCAGAACCACAGAAAGCCTAGGCTGGTGGCACAGTTTCTGCCTGGTTATGTTAATCTGTCCTGGCAAAATGTTCTGATATCCATTCTAGTGCCCAGTAAAGCCGATTTCCCAGCCACCTTTGGGTCAAGTCTGACGTTGTTCCATCTACTAATTCTGCCTTCTTTGCCTTTCCCCTCAGTGATAACAGGATGTTAGCTAGCTTGTTCCCACCACCTGTCTTTGGTTTTGGTTCCTTGAAACAGGGTAACACGGTTACCTTGAACTTGAAGCAATCCTTCTGCTGAAGCCTCCCCAGTGCTGAGATTACAGGCAGAAGCCACCATGCTTATCAGGAGCTGGTTTTAAGTCCTTCTGCTAGGCTGTCCCTCCAGGCTCATCTCAGACGGCTCCCTGTTCTCTTTCCCTTCTCACACCCAGGTAGGACTTCTTTTTCTTTCAACACTGTGTTACGATAAATCTTTCTGCCAAAAGCTGCCTGAGCCCCACCGCCATGTGTGAGCTTTACACCAGCCGCCCCCCCCCCCCCCCCCGAGTTAGGCCCAAATGAATACACAGAAACTTGTATTAGGTTCAATGCTGCTTGGCCAATGACTAGGATTCTCATCTGTTAGCTCAGTCTTAACTATCATAAACCTATATATTTTATAAGACTTATCGGACGCCAAGCCCTCCTTGTCGGTGGCTCACATTGTGCCGCTGGAGCAGGAGCGGAGGGGAAAAGAGCGATGCTTCCTGTTTCTCCTTTCTTTAAAAATGAGTCTCCTTGCTATGTCACTTCATCACTTATCTACTACATTTCCCAGAATCCTCTTTGACTCCTAGTCCTAACTTGCTGTTTCATTGGCCAAACGATATTTTATTTAACAATCAATAAGATAAACATACACAGTACATTCCCCATCAACACTGGGTTGAAATTGTACCAGAACAGCAAGATTTGCTCCAAATCACAATTTCACCTCCATCAACGCAATAAACAATCACTGGCAGAGCCCCAGGGAATCTACTCACCTAGAAAAATAATAAGCAAAGGTGAACTTTTCAGAATTCCAACAGTGACGAGAGAGGACTGTACTCGAGTTCTTTTCAGGATGGGGGGCTCGGGCCTGGACTCCGGTGCCTCAGAGTGGCTGGCAGCAATAATTGTCCCCATAATGGTGTAGCTGTTGATCTCTGCTACATATGCTTCTCTACGTTTGACAACTATAGAAAGAGTTTCTAGATTTTTGTGAGAGATGAAATGTTTTTTATTTGTCTGAGTTTGTTTTGTTGTTTTGAGATAGACTCACAGAGCTCAAGCTGGCTTCCAACTCATGGTGTGGCTGAGACTGGCCTTGAACTCCTGATCTTCCTGTCTTTCCAAATGCTGATATCATAACTATGAGCCAATACACATCATATTTGGAGGGGTTCTGTGTGTGTGTGTGTGTGTGTGTGTGTGTGTGTGTGTGTGTGTGATGTGCCGCACACAGGCAGGCCTCAAATTCATGCTCTTCCGGCCTCTGCCTCCTTTATGCTGGGATTCAGGCATGCACCATTATATTCTGCTGAAAGATGACTTGGAAGTTTTTATTTTCCCAAAGTATTATCTGGATGCTAGGTGAGATCAGACCAGGGTATTTTCACATGGCCTTTTCTCTTGATCTAGTTTCTTCTTTTTTAATCCATAAAAAAAGAATTTCCATTTACTCTTTCTTTTTACAAAACAGTGATTCTCCACTGAATTGTACCTCCTGAATTTACTGTCAGGTGAGGTGATAAAATCTTTACAGCAAGCAAGCAATGTAAGGCCACCGCTGTTACTATTCCCACTTTTCAGTCATGGTTTAGAGAGACTGGGAAATCTGTTTAGCCTTATACTGATGCGTAGTATCAGATTGGCTTGTAGTGATAATTTTTGAAGTTCTTGTAACTGTCTGGGGTCTGGAAATTCCTCTCTGTCACTTCAGAGGCCAGGGAGTAGCAATGTTGGAGCCATCTGCCACTCCCAGAAACTAGAGACCCTTCGAAATCAGCCTAGATTAGAGAAAAAAAGTAATCATTTATTACTAGAACAGGACATGGGAAGATGATCATTACAATGACATGTGTATGAAGATGGCATGATAAAGCCATCACTTCTTAGCTAACCTAAAAAAAGTATAGTTCACTTTTTCTTTTCCTTTGAAAAGTTTTCCAGCGTATGTTTTTCTTCCCAATGTCCGCTTGGAAATGGGACCACAGTGAGGCTGTGGTTTGGGGAATCTGTTCCACATGGAGCCTTCAAGAGGAGGCCTCGGGTGCCTCTGATGGGCCTTTTTCTTGTTTTTCAGTCTCCCCCAAGCAAAGTCAAGGAAGCTGTGAAGGCCGCCATCGATGCTGGATACCGCCACATTGACTGTGCCTATCTGTACGAGAACGAGAGTGGAGTGGGAGAAGGGATTAGAGAGAAGCTCCAGGAGAAGGCCGTGAATCGGGAAGACCTCTTCATTGTCAGCAAGGTACAATGGCCCGCTGGCTGAGCCGCTGGCTGAGTGCGGCTTCAGGCAGGCGGAAGATCTGGACCACACCAAGAGCCCCGCCCATCTTTCTTATGTGGCTGTTATTTCTCCTAACCCCCTTCTTCTTTGCTTTTTGTTATCCCTGTATTATCCCTGTATTTTTGTTATCCCTACTGTGTGGATATTTAAATCCACACTCCAAGACAGTACTGGAAGAAGATGCTCTGGCCCCCCAACCCTTGTTGTTTCTCCTGTGGTGGGAATGGCTCCTTGGTACCCTTGGCCTCTCCTCTTCTCTTAGTAGGGTCCCTCAGCCACGTGGTAGGCAGAGGCTAGGGGGTACATGCAGGCTGCATTCCAGCCCACACTGCCTAGTGCTGTGTTTAACAGCTCTGGCCCTGAGGGCTAATTAATTTTTTTTCAGACAGGGGCATTTTGGAAATGGTAGGAGCATTATTTATTGTTAACAGGAATCTCTTTATTTCAGTTCAGTAAAAGGTGAACTGTGAAACATTATTAAAAAGAAGGGAGTGGGTGTGTGAGGGGTCCTAGGCTTTGTATTGGACATAACTCTGCAAAACAGGCTAGTTCCATGTACTGACCCACACTGTGGGGATTGGCCCCATCTGAATAAACTTGTATTTCATCACTTGAGCCCAACAGGCTTCAGGTTGTGGGGGTACAAAAAGGGATAACTTCTCAATAGCATCAGAATGCTTGAAATTTGGGCCTTAGTGGTACACGCCTTTAATCCCAGCACTCGGGAGGCAGAGGCAGGTGGACCTCTGTGAGTTCGAAGCCAGCCTGGTCTACAAAGCAAGTTCCAGGACAGGCTCCAAAGCTACACAGAGAAACCATGTCTTGAAAAACAAAACAAACAAACAAACAAAAAGAATGCTTGAAATTTAAGAACTAGTCACAATGCTTGCCCTCTGGGAGGTGACAGCCAAGGAAAGGAATAATATAAGAAGAAACATATTTAACCAAAGGCCAAATGTGCTAAATGATTTAAACAGAATACCAAGAGCATGGAAGAACACATATGCTTGACCTTGACTTGCTGAGTGTTGGTAACCTACTGTGTTGCCTTTCTTTCTTTCTTTTTTTTTTTTTTTTTGGTTTTTTGAGACAGGGTTTCTCTGTGTAGCTTTGGAGCCTATCCTGGCACTGGCTCTGGAGACCAGGCTGGTCTCGAACTCACAGAGATCCACCTGCCTCTGCCTCCCGAGTGCTGGGATTAAAGGCGTGTGCCACCAACGCCCGGCTCTGTGTTGCCTTTCTTAACTAACTTTATTATAAATGAATGGCCTGTCCTGGGGTTAGATCAACTGCAAATCTCAAAGCAGGGAGGGTGACTGTGGGGTGGCCCTCTCTTTACCCAGCTGTAATGCCTCCTTGTCATCTACAGCTGTGGCCCACCTTCTTTGAGAAAAGCCTGGTGAAGAAAGCCTTTCAGAAAACCCTCACCGATCTGAAACTGGACTATCTGGACCTGTATCTAGTTCACTGGCCACAGGGATTTCAGGTTAGAGCTTTTTTGCCTCATCTGTAGCTGCTGAGCAAATGCCAGAAATCAGCAGCTGGGCCTGAACTGAGAGCAGGAGAGAGGGAGGAGGCAGGAGCTTACACAGAGGACTCTGGCCTAGAAGGGAGTCTGTGTTAACAAGTGGTGCATGGAGATGGCACTTGCACAGGTTTTGCTTTAATTCTATTTTAGAGAAACTGTGATTCCTGCCAGCCCAGATAAATATGACTGGCTTGTCACCTTCCCATCAACTCTGTGTCCAGTGGTCCTCTCCTAGGGAATCTCATAGGACAGTCAGACATAGCATTCTTAGGGCTCGACACTCCTGCTAGTCCTGGTGTAACACGGGTTGGCATCCTGTTGATGCTGGGAGGCCATCAACCCATCCTGGAATACTGTCACTCAGTGCTGGGGGCCTCCTCCCACCTGCTTCCAAGAGCTTGGAGGAAGTGGAATTCTAAGTCTTTTCCCCTCAAGACCAACTATGGTGTTGGTGGCATGCCACCCCAAATTCAATCTTTCCTCAAGTTGTAACAATAGATGCTGGCTCCTGCTATACCCTTACTATTTAATGTTTGCCTATTTACCCTGGAATTAAAATTTCTTCCAAGTTTATGTGAGTCTTGGTATGTTGGGTTAATTTTCGTGGCAATAACGATGGCTTCTGCAGTATCCTAACAGCCAACTGCAAAGCTAAGACAGCAATATCAGATCTAAAGGATTTACATGCTGTTGTAGATTGAGCAGAGATGGACCTGAGGCTCCAGAGCTTGATGACATGCACTGTCATCAAGGTGTGGGGTTTGTTACTTCTCTGTCCCAAGATCTCTCTCCTCAGGCTTGGTTATCCCTGAGCAGATTCCAATGGGTTTGCTTTTTGCGTTACAGCCTGGGAAGGAGTTTTTCCCCACTGATGATAAAGGCAACATTCTCACCAGTAAACACACATTCCTGGATGCTTGGGAGGTAGGTTCTAGTTCCTTTAAAGTGCGCTCAGAGAGAAAAACTTGTCAGATACCCATTGTCTCCACCCTGGGATAACAGCCCTGTACGGGATCTCATTACTGCATTCTCCATTCTCCCATTACGCTTAACTCGCCACTGACTGGATTGGGGTTCTTTACAACACTGTTTACACCGAGATCTAAGTGAGGCAGGAAATGCAGTGTATTACAACTTGATATAAACATGCTGTGATGGAAACAGAGGCATGCACTGGGGACTTGGGATAATCAGGAGACCTAGAATAAAAATTTAACTCCTGTAGGTCTCAGTGTCCTTGTCATTAAAAAAATTATCATATATGATAATAATGATGTATATTATTAGTGTGTGACAAGGATTAAAATAGCTAACATGCAGAAATTTAATCAAAGAGCTCATTGGTCATTAGCCCTACAAAGGGAATGTTGCTTCCCCATGTACAGATGATAAAATCCTAACCTAGGTGATTGATAAGTTGTCACCTTATAAAGAAAATGTGTGACACTGTAAGACCCCTGGAAGCTCAGGCCTCCAGGATCTTTTCCCAGGACCTCGGCCACCCCAATCACCATGTGGAGGCGGAAACTTGATGCAAACAGCAAGATGCTTTAATGAAAGGTGGACGTTTGTACAAACGGGCTCTCTCAGCATGCAGGCTATCGGGCAGCTCCATCCCCCAGGCACAGGCATTTTTAAAGGCAAAAACCATAAGCTTAGGGAGGGGCTTCGACTCTCTGTCTGTTGAGTACGTGACCAGAGTCATGGGTTCCTAGGAGGCCCTTTGTCTTGAGGGGAGGACTGGGAACCAGATGGCCTTCTGACCCACCAGTTGTAAAACCTGCAGACCTCAAGATGTGCTAACTAATCTTGCCTGAGCAAATGGTAGCTATCTCTTTGTTTCTTAGGGACCCTTAATTGTTAATTGTTGACACATTGGCCCCTTGGGGGAGGGTGGCCATCTGGGAATTCTTGGTACACAGTTATCTTTTTTTTTTTTTTTTTTTTTTTTTTTTTTTGGTTTTTCGAGACTTTGGCTTTGGAGTCTGTCCTGGAACTAGATCTTGTAGACCAGTCTGGTCTCGAACTCACAGACATCCACCTGCCTCTGCCTCCTGAGTGCTGGGATTAAAGGCGTGGACCACCAACGCCCAGCTGGTACCCAGTTATCTTATGGCCTTGTTGTAAGACCCCCGGAAGTTCAGGCCTCCAAGATCTCAGCCCAGGACCTCGGTCATCCCAATCACCAGGTGGAATTGACAAATGGATGCAAACTGCATGAGGCTTTATTATAGTTGTTTAATGAGCTACCCCCAGGTTAGCTCAGGCCTTTCATCCACCCGCCATGGCAGATGGCTAGAAAAGACAGATCGAAGCGGCTGCATAGAGATCTTACAGGGCAGTATATGGGGAGTGTCTAGGGGTACACACAGGCTCAGGATTGGTGTGCCTCCAGGCTTGGAGGGGTTGCCCTGTGTTGATTGGTCAACCGGTTGTTATGGTCCATAGGCCCTCTCAGGGGGGTTGCTATGCTCTGTGCGTCATTGCTGTGCACTGGTCCGTAAAGCACACCCAGAGCCATAAAGCATAGCACCACCAGCTAACTTCTGATTGGTTCCTTCCCCAGCAGGAAGACAAGGTCAGACAAGCATGTGTTCAGCTGTTATGGCTGCCGAAATGGGGAGCTGGTCCCTTCATTATAAGGGAGTAATTGCTGGCGGCTGGTAAATTCCAGGCACTAAGTCATAAAAGTGGCCTTGGTCAGTTTCTGGGCTATATTTCTTTGCTAATTTTTAAGTCAGCACTATCAGGATTGGATCCAGATCTGTGTGACCCAAGGCTTGGAACATCCTGCTTGGCTGTGAATACACATGTAGACATCAGAGAACACACTGGCCTGCTTTTTAGATCAATCGAGGCCTTGACTTACATAATCATGTAAAAATGAATTAAAGTATGATTGTTTTCTCTAATAACTTTCACCACTGTATGAGTTAGGGTTATTACTGCTATGATGAAACACCATGACCAAACAACTTCCACAGCACTGTTCATCACTAAAGGAAGTGAGGATAGGAACTCAAACAGGGCAGGATCCTGGAGGCAGGAGCTGATGCAGAGGCCATGGAGGGTGCTGCTTACTGGCTTGCTTCCCAAGACTTGCTCAACCTGCTTTCTTATAGAACCCAGGACCACCTGCCCAGGGATGACTCCAATCATTAATTAAGAAAATGCTCTACAGGCTTGCCTACAGCCCAATCTTATGGAGCATTTTCTCAACTGAGGTCTTCTCCTCTCTGATGACTTTAGCTTGTATCAAGTTGACATAAAACTGCCCAGCACAATCACTGTCCTCTTGCAAATGCTTAAAAGGTAGGACAATGTGAATGAACAAGTCATAAATGGTTAGAAAAGACAGACTCCAAGAATTAGCATAATGTTTGTCAGGCAGTCCTGAATCGTCTTGTGTTTCAGACTCTAGGAAACTTGCCTTCTTCAGAGAGATTGGAATTGATAAAATGAAATGAAATGTAGCTTCTGTATGGTTTGCCCCCAAATTGCTTGAGCTTTAATTGGTCACAGTAAGAAAATGTAGAGAGCAAACCCCATGTGACAACTGAGGGTAAAGGCAGAAAATCAGGACAGCGTTTCTGCCCTGTGGCAAGGCTGGAAACCCTAGTGTTGAGGAACACTGTCCTGTGGGTATGGCCTGCCTGCTGTTGTGAAGTTGAGCTGTGATTACCTGCACTGGATGTTCACAATTGCTAGGGAATGAGTCTTTTTTCTTTGTGGGTATAGTCATTCCTAAATTGACCATGTTTTTTAAGTAATCCAATTAAACTCACTGTTTCAAGAACTAGAGACTTCAGTAGAACTGTTTCTTTGGTCTGTTTGTCATTGCTACCCCATCTGGGGTGTATAGATGTTTGTTCATCTATTTCATGATAGTTAACACAACACCTGGAAATGTATTCAAAGGAGTTAGTCTTGGCAAGCGAATCATTAAATTTGCCACTAGTAGCAGAACATCTGTTACAAGGAATTTGGAAGGATGGGGGACTGGAGGCTGGGAGGTTAGTTCTGGTAGGATGCTTGTGCAAGGTCCTGGGTTTAAATAAACAAAAGCATCCCTTTAACATTTGGGTTTGTATGGATGGGTCTTCAAGACTTGATGAGGCTTCTGGTGTTAGATGTGAGAGGAAAAAAAATTAATCCCCAAACTACAGCAACAGGGTGGCTCTATAAGATTACCCCACTACATTGATACTTAGAAAATAATAGAATAATAATAGAATATGTACACAGAAGCTACAATGCTGTAGTGTGTGCACCAGCACTCACAGATAGCCCATTTCATTGTTCATTTTGCAGTAAGTTGAGGGTACTAATTAGATAAGATGGCAACTGTATATATTACCAGATTAAAACATGGCCTCTTAAATATCTTAATACTTTATTGTTCATTCCATAACATTTTTGTCATAGTTCTTAAAGTGATGTCATACTAAGGTGGCAATTCTGCCACAGTGTCTTACACTGGGGCTAATTTGCTGTCTCGTGAATAAATCCAAGCAAGAATGATTCCTAAATAAAAACTTTACAGAGATAAAAAAGATACTATACTGCTCTGATTTGATCTTGGCAGGATTAACTATGCCTGGACAGGGTAGTTTCATGGACCCACAACCAATCCAATCTAGAGCTCATTGACCATAGTCTATAATAGAGGAAGGGAAAAGAGTGTAAAGAAGGAAAAATGGATCATACACACAAACCAAACCTGACCTAGATCACAGAGTAGCATTTAACTTATTTCCCACTGGGAGGGTTCTGGGACCTCCAGATCTCATCAAAGCTGAACTGTCTTGCCTAGTGAACTTTCCCTCACTCCTCACTTCCCGAAGGGCTTCTCAACCTGGTACATTAAAGTCTGAAGAGGGCATTTTGAATATCCTAATGTTCATGCTGTATCCCAAAGGAAATCAGTAAGAAGCCCTGGGTGCGGAGTCTAGATACCTGTAACACAACAAATAAAAGACCCAGAAACTGATATTGGGGTTCAAGCTTCAAGCTGAAGATCAGAAAAGCAAAGCAGCTGGGTACTAGCTCTCACTCTACCTCAGGCTGAAATGCTATCCTGGCTCAACTGAAGCTTCTCTTCAGTGTGGCTGGAGAACCCTGAGACTTCAATGTCTTCCTATCCTCAGTGTGGCTGGAGAATGAATGCCAGCTCTGAGACCCTGTTCCTGACTTAAATTCTTCTCATGAGTCCTGGGATTAAAGGTGTGTGATCCCAAGTACTGAGATCACCTTTGGGTGGGCTGTTTCTCTTTAGGACAGGATGTATTTCTTGTAGCTCAGTGTGGTCTTGAACTGACAAAGATCTGTCTACCTCTTAATCCTGAGTCCTGGGATTAAAGGCGTGTGTCACCACTGCCTGATCTCTAGGGCTCAAGGCTAGGTTTGCTTTCTCAATCCTCAGGCAAGCTCTAATAAATCATAAATAGCATTATCACCACAGACACCTAATTTTTAGATCCTTCCGAGGGTCCAGGATGCAGCCAAGATTGAGAAACAATAGACCAGGTGACGGCTGAACCCGCCTGCTCATCCTTACCTCTCAGCCTTTGCTTCTCCTTCCCACAACCTCTTCATCATTTACCACCTTTCCTCGTGTTACTTTTCTATGCCCAGTTTGAAATCTACTCCTAATGTCTCCCCTGGGATCCTGTGGATTCTTTCCTTCTCTCCTTGGTCCTTGAAGCTGTGTCAACTTAGCTGAGGTGGAGGGGTACCCCAGAACTTTAATTAAAACTAGAATCTCAAGAGGGCTGGGTATGGTGGCATATCCCTTTAACCCCAGGACTCCAGAGGTGGAATTCTACAAATTCAGGGCCAACCTGGTCTACATAAGGAGACTCTGTAGGGAGAGGGAAAAATAAAAGAACCTCAAGCAGAAAGCACATTGCTTACTTTTACATTCTAGAAACTTCCAAAAGGAATGTACAATAAACCAGATATAACTGTGTTCTCATTTTGTGGTTGCCACAAGCTCTTTATAGGCAAAAACATAATAAACCCCAGGCCTTTGAGGTTGAAGCAATTTTGTAGGACAAGCTGTCAATGGGACAACTTTCGGCTCAAATTCAGTTCTAGGCCAGGTTCTCCTACCAGGGCATATATCTGCACAGCATTTCCCCACTACACACCAAACTGTGGTTGTGAAAGAAGAAAGATCTTAGAACCTAGACTAACAGATGGTCCAGATGATTCGGGAAGATAACCCTAGACAAGCTGGAGACAGAGGCAGGAGGATCACAAGTTCAAATCCTGGCCAAATACTACATAAGTTTGCTGGGATGGAAACACGGTGACCATGTGCAACTCTCAGGTCACATCCTATTGCTGAGAGAAGACAGGGAAGGAACCTGGAGGCAGGAATGGATGCAGAGGCCACTGAGTGGTGCTGCTTACTGGTTTGCTCAGCCTGCTTTCCTATTTTTTTCTTGTTTTCTCTAGGGCCACCTGCCCAGGTCTCATACCACCAACAATGGGCTGGGCCCTCCCACATCAGTCACTAATTAAGAAAATGCCCTGCAGACTTGCCAATAGGCAAATCTTATGGAGACAATTTTTAAATCAAGTCTCTTTTCCCAAATAACTGTAGCTTTTGTCAAATTGACATAGAACTAGCCATCACAAGGTCAAGGCAAGTTCGGGCAGAGAGATGCATCCCTGAAAAGAAAAGTGTCCGCTCAGGACCCCCAAGACCAGGCTGGGCTTGGGTCCCGCAAGGAGCCAGAGGATATTGTCCTTTGTCAGGCTGTAACTTCCCGCCTGGAGCCATTGCGGCAGGAAAGTCTCTGTTTTTCAAAGGGAAGGGGTCTGTCCTGTTAGATTCTGTCCCGAGTCATCGTCCGTCAAGACAAGAAAAACAGACAAACAAACAACAAACACAGCGCTGAGACAAAGAAGAAAGTCCCCCTCCCACCTAGATTCCTAGACTTACCAATGAAAGTCCTCAATTGAACCTCCTATTTTACCAATGGCAGTTGGGGCAGAGAGACACCACTTTGCATGCCTCACAGACGAGCAGGTGAGGATGGAGAAATAGACTCACCTGCACCAGCCAGGCTCAGCTGTGAGGGCTTCAGCAGTGGGTGGAGTCCAGAGCAGCAGCCTCACTATGTGCTCAGAGACAGGAGACTCCGCCATAGCACACTCTAACCCATGGAACTCCTGTCCTGCACGCCATGTGCTCAGGGCAGCAAGAAAAAGACCCCTGACACATGCATGCCATGTGCATGGGTGGTAAGGACAGAGAGAGAGAGAGACTGCTGGAGTCCAGAGCAGCAGCTGTTCTGAAAGACCGCCTAAGTCAGGACAAAAGTCAAAGACAGGCTTAACAAACACACAGCACAGACTAGACTAGGGTCCTATTCAGAATTTCAGATGGCTAGCCACATGGGGAACAACTTGGTCCACAACCAAGTCTACCCTCCAGATTGGGCAGCCCCCTGGGTCCCCTTACAGATGGAGCAGGCAACTTGGTCCCACCAAGTCCCCCTCCTACAAATTTCGCTAGCGAACCCAACATAGTACTTTTACATTTACACAATCAACAAAAACAGCTCCTAGGGCTAGGCAAAACGGCTGACACCCTGGCTGGTCCTGGGGCTTGGTGCAGGAGCTGCGCATAGCGAGACTCGTCCCACCCCTCCCTCCCTGAAGGAGGACAATGGCCTGCCAGCATGCGCAGGGTGCAAGCATCCTTTACTGAGGCATCTGTCCGTGGCAGGTGCACAGGTGACAAGCATCTGGAGAAAGATGCCCGTGGGGCATGCACCGGGCTGGCCAAATGGCAGGTGCCTCCAAGTCTAAGTGTGCCCAGCTGGCCATCCTTTCCTGGGAAGCTGAGGCCCCAGCAGGTCTAGCAGCCAGCAGGGCCCAGGTGGGGGCAGAAGGTCTGTGACTGCTGGAGGGAGGGGTGCCAGCAATGTTGCTGAGCCACCCAGGGAATGTTGCCCAGTGTTGCCCCTGCACTGTTGTCCAGTGGAATGCAGAGAGCAAGACTGCAGTAGGGGTGGCACTTGCCTGCTAGGGAGGCCTAAAGGGTGTGTGAACCTTTAGAGACTTTACTGCTCTTAGGAAAGCCATGGTCACTGGCTCACTTGCCCGTCACAGCTCCCTCCTGTGCTATCAGATGGGATTCCTCCACCCTGACAAATGGTTCCCAGAGATAGAGATGTAACTGCCCTGAACGCCACCACCTGGAATGAGCCAATCAGAACTGTTACCCTCCCTTACCCCAGACCCCATCTGTTTGCAGTTTTTGCCTTTAAGAAGCCCCTAGACCGCAGCTCGGGGTCCAACTCCTCTACTCCTCTACTCCTGCATGAGTAACGAGTTGGGCCCTGGCGTGCGGGTTGCTGAGTAAAGCCTCTTCCTGTTAGCATCAAATCCTTGCCTCTGCCTGGTGATTGGGGTCACCGCAATCCCGAGTGTTCACCCCGGGGTCTCACCCCATGGGGGGGTCTTTCAGATTCATTGCCAAATTACCACTATCCTGTATCATTGTAAAGCTGAGCCAGCAATCCTGTATCCTGCTACAACCATCTAAACGATATTCCTTACTGAAATAGGTCATGGAGGAACTGGTGGACCAGGGACTAGTGAAAGCCCTGGGCATCTCCAACTTCAACCACTTACAGATTGAAAGGCTTCTGAACAAGCCTGGACTCAAACATAAGCCAGTGACCAACCAGGTAAGTTCGTTGTGGTGACAAGAGTTTTATTTCAGGACTGCTTCAACATTCCAGGACCAATGGACTGAGCTGTCTTTCAGGGATCAGTGTTCAGGATGCGCAGGGCAGTGGGAGGCAGACCTTGGGTCTGGTCTATAGCTCATCTATCAGTGGGTTGTATTTGGCCTTTGTGTTGGTCTTTTCTCTTGTCTAGAGTTCCCTCTGAGCCACTCAGGAAGGCCTACTTCCCTAGTGACAGGTGTTTTCTCTTGCAGATCGAATGTCACCCATACCTCACTCAGGAAAAACTGATTGAGTACTGTCATTCCAAGGGTATCACTGTCACAGCCTACTGTCCTCTGGGCTCTCCAGCTAGGCCTTGGTGAGGCTTCAGAGTGGTGACTGTCTTTTGTCACCCAAAATTCATGTTTCATAATTGGTTAATAATGCTATGAATTTCTAAGGCACCTGAAAAAATGTGTCTATAGCAATGTGTTTGACCACAGGCACATAGTTTGTGTGGCAGGGGTTGGGGGAGGAAGAGGGGGGTAAAGGGGAGAGAGAGAGAGAGAGAGAGAGAGAGAGAGAGAGAGAGAGAATATCTGACTCTGTCAGTGCTCCATTTCTGCCAGGTTCTCAAATTGGTAAAGCTCCTGATCCTATGGACAGGTCCAGGGGAAAGACAAACTTTTCAGGTCCTCTGGTTGTCTTGCAAATGGAAAAGGCTGCAATGTTCATCTTTGGCACCATCCTGGCAGTGATAGTCACTGTGATTATATTCACTCCAGCTATCTTTCTGCATTTAGGGCCAAGCCAGAGGACCCTTCACTCCTAGAGGACCCCCAAATTAAGGAGATAGCTGCAAAGCACAAGAAAACCCCAGCCCAGGTAAAATACTGTTGTTGGGTTTCCTCTCCTATTCTCCAGCAATCTTTGTTATTAGTCTTGTTTTATTGTGTCACCTGCTTTCAATCCCTTGGAGAAGAAATGGGAAATGTGAGTCTGTTGGGATGTCCAGGAAATAAATCTGGTACCAGTGAAACCAGGCCTGCTTGTATCCATCAGCTTCTAATCATGTCCCCAGACCATACCACGAGAGCATGTCTTTGGGTTTGGGTGCCAACTGTACAGGGTCTAGTTTCCCCATTCCTAACTAGGGAAATCATGGTATTATTTTCAGGTTCAAGGGCATGAGATTAGAGCTGCCAAGTGTTCCAAATAGTGAATTCCTTAGTTAATTTTTAGTTGTCATAGCTAAAGCTCTAAGTAGCCACAGATATATTTCCCTTACCCTAGGAGAGGCTCTTGTAAGTGGATACCTGTTATTCCCTCAATGTGCACAGGTTCTGATTCGCTTCCACATCCAGAGGAATGTGGCTGTCATCCCCAAGTCTGTGACACCAGAACGTATACATGAGAACTTTCAGGTAATAACTGAGATGATCATCTGCTAATCCTTGGACAAGTAGAAGACAGGAGGCCCTGTCCTTAAGCTTCTCATTCCATCCCTGTTTTGCCAGTGTGTCCTTCCTTCTACTGTCCTTCTTGTGAACTCTTGTCCCAGGGAGCTGGCCTCTACAGATGGGATGGCTGTTCTTGGTTGTGTACTTGACTACATCAGAATGAACTACAATCCAGAAATAGAGGGCACACCCCTGAGAGATTAACTTAGCTTTCTGTGAAATGGGTGAATCCACTTCTAGTCCTGACCTTTGAGACAGGAAGACACATACCCTTGATTTGGATCTTGAGACAGGAAGACACTAATTTGGGCTACGCCTTCTGCTGGAAGCTTCTATAAAGACATGGAAGAAGGAAGCTTTCTCTCTTTGCCGGCTTGCCCTCACCTTGCTAGCACATCCATTTCTTTGCTGGCATTGGAGCTTTCTTCTTTGGGATTCCAGCATATACTGAAGACCAGCTGAGACACCCAACCTTGTGGACTAAGCAGCTACTGGATTCTTGGGCTTTCTGTTCACAGTGAGCCCCAATGAAATGTTTTCATTATTAAGAGTAGCCATGGTCATGGTGTCTCTTCACAGCAACAGAACCCTGACTAAGGCAACAGAATTGAGATGAATCACCATTTAGCAAAGATAGTTAGGGGGCAGGGACTAGAAACAGTACCTTTTAGCACTGCAAATAGCCCTACTTATCATTGAGCATGGGCCATAGACTGTCCTACCCATGCACAGACTGTTCTGGCCTACACAAACCACATGCTTGCACAAGAAGATGAATGGGCTAAATTTGAAGAAAGGCCTCCTGGAAGGCTGCTATTCAGTTGTCCCTCAGGGATCACAGTCTCTGTCCACTAAGTATAGCTGCAAACCCAGTCTCCTTCCTTTGGAAGTACTAAACCCTATAAGCGATCCAGTCTTAATTCAGAGAATAGTTTGCATGCAACGTGGACCTAATGGGAGAAACAGTAGAACCTCAGGTCTCACCAGCACTTTCCTTGCTAAGGATGTTTTTGGAACTCTTGCTTCTCTAGGTCTTTGACTTCAAGTTGAGTAATGAAGAGATGGCCACCCTTCTCAGCTTCAACAGAAACTGGAGGGTCTGTTCCTTGCCTGTGTAAGTGGTGCTGGGTTTGGAGGCTGATAAGGAGTTTGACTAAAGTTGTGCAGGGCCAGCTCAAAAAATGATGAGGCATATGGGATGACTATTTTCAGGCAGTTATGAAAAATTAAAACTTGAGGAAAGACAGTGTTTGTTTCCCAAACTTTTCAAATAGAGAAAAGGCATGCTTTTCCACTGTAGGAGACAAGGATAGTTGAAGTAACACCACATACATATGTCAGACAGTAACAAATGATGGAGATAAAAACACAAGTAGGACAAAAGGCCTAAGAACTAATGGATCCTGTTAGAACTGATACTTTCTTCATATGTGACGGCCCAGGGGCAGTCTTGATGAATAGGATAGGGTTCTGGGTGCTGAGAGCAGCAGGTGCAAATGCTCTCAGGTGTGTGTGGGGTGAGGGGTAAAGCACTTGAGTAAGGAGGCCAAGGAAGCCAGAAGCAAACAGGGAGGAAGAAATAAGGTTAGTAACAGCCTTGGGCTAAGGGCACACAGGTGGTATAGAGTGTGGGAAGGACTTTGACTTTAGCTCTTTGGGAGCTGAGAAGCCAGGAGAGGATTTTGTGAGGAGGTTCGTACAGCTCACAGGTTGGAATGATAAAGTGACATTCTGCACTTAGAAATCACAGGGAGACCAGTAGGATAATCTAAGGGAAGAGATTGGACCCACTTTGTAGTGTGATAGGAGAAGTTAGAGAGATTGGATTCCGGATAAATGGAAAACTGAGCAAATTGAATTTGCTAACACAACAACAATCAAAGGTGGGTTTTGCTGGCTTGACTTTATTTTTGCTTGAGCAACTCAAGAGCAGAATTGTCATTTAGGAGTAGCCATGAGTTTGAGAAATGCCTGTGATACCTATTGAGCGTCGACTAGAGAATGCCAGATGGAGTGGGATTGAGGGGTGCAAGTCACAGGTTGACAATAAGCCTCACCTTGCTGGCTTCTGATCCAAGCTCTGCCACTTACTCATTGTGAAGCTTCGGGTAGAGTTGGTAACCTCACCAAATTGTTTTCTTTTACTTACACAGCAGTGATGATAGTACAAATAACAAAAAAGATACATATTTAGGATCCTAAACTCTTTGCTTATATTAGAATTTTATTTAACACAACAACCAATCTGCCAATTTCACCATGATGCCCCACTTTACTACGATGTGGGAATGAACCAAAATAGGATTTGTGAGGTCCTTGGCTGGTTTCTAGTGATCTGCCTTTATGACATTATTCTAAGGACTTAGCCAATGATTATTTTCTTGCCCCTTTTCCTTCAAATACTCATTTGAGGGAAGGTCATAGTATGGGTCCCCTTCTGTGTTCCCATGGTCCTGTGGGGGAGGAGGCTAAGAGAGCAGAAAGATTGTTGAGTGCATCACATTTGTGACTTTTGTGGAACACTGTCTTCTGTGTGCATGTTGCTGCAGAACAATTAATGCGGAGGACTACCCTTTCCATGTGAACTTCTGAAGCGCCATCGCCTGATGAGAGTGTCTCATGGGTTCTCTCTTTGCTGGTGTGCAAAGTCCTCCTGAGATGTATTTAAGCCAATGCTGTTTGATGTCGTATCATCAAGCAGGTCTTGATGTTGGCCAAATCAAGGCAATGCTGTGTTCAAATCCTCATTGTTCAACCAGGAGCAGACTACTTTGGAGAAATGTGATACAAAGAAGAGAACAGTACTCCCTTGCATATAATTTGATGTGCTTGTCAAACACCAGGAGCTATGGTAACACTGAAGGCACAAAGAGGAAATAATAAAAGCAATAATAGCAACTGACGTGTCAAACACAGTTTGAATTGTTCTTTGAATGAGTGACCTTATTGAGTCCAGATCTTACCACTCACATTTCACTTGGCAAATAATAGAGGCATGGGGAAGCCAAGCACTGGCTCATAGTCACCCAAGTAGTAAGCCAAATATCCAAGGCAGTTGCTCTCAGGGAGAGCTCAAGTCTATGTGTTTCTCTCTTCCTCCCATATCCTCTCCTGTCCCCTCCCTTTGTGCTTTCTCACCCTGCCTTTAATGTGCCAGCATGCGGAAGAGTGGATGCTGGCCATGGCCAAGCCTATGAAACCCACAGTTACCACTGCTCACCGAGAAACTCTGTAGCAACCCTGGGGATGCAATGGGGAACAGAAGTGAGTCTGGAAGTGAAAATACCATTGGCTCCCGTCTTAGTTAAGGTTTCTATTATGGTGAAGAGACATGGTGACCACCACAACTCTTATCAAGGTAAACATTTAATTGGGGCTGGGCTTGCAGTTTCAGAGGTTTAGTCCATTCTTGTAATGGAGAGAAGCATGGCAGTGTGTAGGCAGATGTGGTGTTGGCGAAGGAACCCAGAGTTTTACATCCCGACCAGCAGGCAGTAGGAAGAGAAACTGAGCCAGTAGGCCCGGCTTGAGCTTCTGAAACCTCAAAGCTTATCCCTCCTCCAACAAAGCCACACCTACTCCAACAAGGCCACACCTCCTAATGGTGACACTCCCATTGGTCCGATGGGGACCATTTTTATTCAAACCACCAGACCGTCAATCTGGGGCATGCCTTTTTTCTGTAGTATTTCTTCTTAGAAAATATTCTAATCATTCAGAAATGTATAGAGAGAACTTGGTGGGCATCCAGTAACCCATGTCACAAATTTTGCCAGGGTACTATTTAAATGGCAAAAACTGATTCAAGGACTAAGTGGTAGCCAGCGCAGTTAAGTATCACTCGGTACCTTTCTCCATCCCAAAGCCAATGCCTGCTCTCAGACAGCTGAGCCGTCTTCTGCTGCTCACAGCCCTACTCGCTCTCAGGCAGATTTCCTGCCCTGCCTTTCCCTATGGGGTGTATGATGGTTGGGGACAGGTGATCACCTACATTTCCAGGCCTCCTAGTCAGATGGCTCCTCTGGGATTGCTCAGTGGGGGCCTCTATTAGGAGGTTGAAGATCTGCAGAGAGAGAAAGGCAGCTGTCTTCTTGAGTGGTATTTCAGTAGAAAAGTAACATTTTCCCACTTAATCCCAGCTTGAAACCTTCACATCGATTCTGACTCCTACCAGCTGACACCACTTCTGGGGTTAGAGAATCCCCCTCCCTCCTGTGTCCTCTCATCTTTAGGCACGGTGGCCTCTTTCCACTGTAGCTAACCTTGGAATTGCCTCCTACTCTTTTGTTTGATATCCCAGCTCTTCCACAAGGTTGCAGAAGGGTGGAGCTTGCTTTTGAGGCTTTGATGATTTCTTCCTTGACTCTCCCTGAGGTCTGGAGATTGCTGGAATACATGTGACTCTGCTTTGTAGCTGCTGGACTCACTTTTCCCTCTGTCTTCCCATGATGTGCTTATAGGAACACCAATCATTGGATTCACCTTCACCCAGCATGCCCTAACTCTAGCTGCAAGGATCCTTTCTTTGAATGAATCCCATTCTGAGGTCTTGGCAGACACAGACTTTTGGTGACACTATTCATATGTCTGAAGAATTACAATGCCCTTATTTGAAGCTCCATGCTTCTAAAAGTATATTTGTGCACCTTTTTTAAAATAAGCATTTATCTTTACATTCATTTGTTACTCACTCAAAGGGGGTGAGGTTCCCCTGGAACTGGAGTTACAGCCAGTTGGAAGTCATCATGTAGATGCTGGCAATTGAACTGGCATCCTCTAGACAGGCAACCAAAACTCTTAACCACCAAGCCATCTCTCTAGCCCTCTACTTCTTTTATTTTCAGTACATCCCAGTATATTAAATGTAATCAGGAGGAGGAGGAAGAGGAAATATGAGGAAAGAAACTAGAATTACATGGAAAAATAGCTGTTCTAGAATTGTTTTTAGCCAGAAAGTAAGGGAGAATTGAGCAGATGATGGTGTCCACTAAGGGGTATAAAACCCAACTCAAATAGAGTATTCGGATTAATGGATTAGTGGATAATAAGTCTTGAATAGCATGAAATTCATAAAACCCACTGAAATGAAAAAAAAATGAGAGTAAAAAACCCTTCCCTGAGTATTTTGTTGCCCAATCTGTGTAGAGGAGACACAGTTAGAAAAGTCCCATGTTGATAACCATATTAGCAATTAATCCACTCAAAAGGAGTGGATGTTTAAACTAGTAAGCAAATGTTTGGTGAACAAATGAATGTTTGCCTGTCACTTAATAGTTGCTTATACTTCTTCATTATTTAATTGCTAAAGGAAAACAACAGAGGATCTGATAGAAACCACATACTAATTTTCTGTTGATAAGTATTAAAACATCACAGCCTTCATAGCTTGAAATAACAAGCATTAATGTTATTTAAATCCTCCAGATCAGACATGAGGCAGATTTAGCTGTGTTTTCTTAGGTCTCCTAAGCTAAAATCAAAGTTCCAGCCAGCCTGGTTTCTTATCTTTTGAGTAAGGGATTCCATCTTGCAGTCTCATTCAGATTATTTGGTTTGGTTCCTTACATTTGTAGGACCTTGGATCCCAGTTCTTTGCAGGCTGTCATCTGGGGACACACACCATCCCTGGCTCTGGTCTTTACTGAGACAAATCTGAACTTCCTTGGAGTTGAAGCCCAACCACACTTTCAATTTAACTTTTTCTTCTGCAACTGGCCAGACAAAAAGCTCTGTTTTTAAAGAGGTGATTTGTTTAGATCAGGCCTTCCATCGCTTTACCACGTCAGAATGCGATCACAGACGGAAGGTCACAGGGACATCTTACAGTTCTGCTCCTCACACTACTGTAGTCAATCAAATAATCAATTCAGCATTGCCAGTAACAGGAAACTGAAATCATTTACGACGATGCAGGAAGAACTGGCTCTAGATTTGTGCTTCTCTGCTAAACCTGAAAACTTGAAATCTACCAGGCCTCATCATCAGATGAGGAGAAACACTCAACTCAGTCGCCTGATCAGTCAAGATCAGGAAAGACAGACAAGGAACGTGTAACCATCACAGATCCAAGGAACATACACACACAAAGTTGGAAAATGGATGTGCAAAGGCGGTGCGTGGTTCTATCGGGGTCTCTTGACTATGAAGGACATTATTGCAACAACTATAAAACCCCAATGGGTCTGAATGAAAGGACAGGGAGGAATTAAGATCAGCATCCTCCTTGCAATACAGGTGATGCAACGATAGGTGTCAGGCCTGTGTAAGAATCCCACAGTGAAGTAACCAAAGGCAACAGTGCGGCACGTCTGCAAATTACTTTCAAGTTACTCAGTAAAAAGTGCTATTGCTATTGTTTTCTGAGCATTATTTCTGAAATTATCTTTCAAAGGGGGTATCATTAATAATCAAAGTAAACCAGAAAGGCAAAGTACATTTCAGTTGCATCAAGATGACTTAGGAAAGAATTTCACTTGAAAAAAATAATCCATTTTGGGGACCAAGGTAGCTTGGAGGTGGAGCACTTGCCTAGTACACATGAGCTCTGGATTCCACCCACAGCACAGCAAAAACACAAAATAGTAACAAAATCCATTTTGCTTTATGTTGAATATTTTTCTTAAATCACTGAGACCTTTCTCCTGTGGAAAATGTGGACAAAGTGTGCTATCTTTTCTATCAGAAGGTTAACGACGACAGTACTCCACTGTGTCTTTGCACAGTTACAGAAGACAAAATCTACTATGTCCTTGCATGGCTCGAGGGACTTGACTGGTTGGTGCCTTGAGGGAATGAAGAAATGACAGACAGACACATGGCTATATAGACACAGAAAAGCTGGGACTGGGGTTCTGGGCTCTCTGATGGAGAGACCACAGCACCCAGGAAGCTCAGCATGTTTATTATATACAGTTGAACTGAAGGCGAGGCAGGGCTATTGCCTACAGCTGAAGAAGGAGGCTGGGGATTACAGACAGATAAACAAGGAACAGGGTTGACAGTAAACAGCTGGATCAAAGAGAAAGGTCTAGCTAACCTCAGTGGGCGTAATCTCTGCAGAGGCCACACTCTCCAGGCTGCAAATATCCAGGGGGGAAAAAAAGCTCTGGTGGACATTTTTTGCACACACTAACAGCATTGGCAAATCAGACCCCCAAAGAAGGCTTTGCCATTTTCCCCTTGGTCTGAGGCTGTGATCCTTCATGTGGCTGGCTCACGTCAACAACACACATTCATTAAGGATTTCCCATACTCAGGGCTTCCTCCAGTTCCACAAAACTCCATTTAGAAACATTGCAAAGCATTGTAACCTCCTTCAGTGTCAGCGCTTCTCCCAAAGAAAATTTATGCTCAAGCCTAATTTCTCCTCAGAAACTGTGCTGCTCTGTATTAGCCTAACATCCAGGGTTATGAAGACCTAGAGGCAGGCTCTTTTGGGCCTCACACCCTCTGTTATCCAACGAATTGCAGCAGTTCCTAAAGGCCCCGGGTCCCTTCAGTGACCATTTCCTTCACTTTTGCCTGAGCTCTGACAGGGAAATGTGACTTCAGGAAATCGAACCTTCCTGCTTCCTCTCCCCCGCCCTCCCCCTCATTCCATCATGAAGACACAGCATCTCTCTCAGCTTGGCTTCATCTGTTTCTGAATGAACAGCACTGGGAAGCCAGCATCTCTGTGGTAGCTCTCAGGCTCTGGCATCTTGTGACTTCATTTCTTTCTCCCAGGAAGCTGGAAGCCAAGTTCTGGGACAAACATGCAAACACAGGCCTCACAATTATCAACTGGTAACATCATCCCCTAAGAATTCACCAGACAAGGAGCGGAACACTATCACTGCTTTCTCTCCCAGCTCTGAGGAGCTGACAGGTTTGCTTTGCCCCAGTGGAGGCCTGCCCTGCTTCAGCATGGGGTGAGCCTGGGCTGGCCCCTGAGACTGTATCTAACTACAAGGATGAGTACAGTTGTGGGCTTTGGGCTGCAGAAGAGAGGATGGGGCTGGTTCAGGAGTTGCCGCCTGGGTCAGCCAGCCTGGAGTCAGGGACTCCCAAGAATAGGAACACTTAGAGAAACCAAGTCCCTCTATCTTCAACACCACAGTCTTGCTAGTGCTCCAACACGGCTAGTTATCAGGAATTCATTCCTATGACAGGATGTAATGCTGTGTCTAGAAAGGTCTTTTGTGGTTTTCTTTACTTCCCCCCTGTGCATCTCAGTTTTAAAGTTTATTTGTTATGTATACAGTGTTCTGCCTGCATGTATTCCTGCAGGCCAGAAGAGGGCAACAGATCTCATTACAGAGGGTTCTGAGCGGCCATGGGGTTGCTGGGAATTGAAATCAGGACCTCTGGAAGAGCAGCCAATGCTCTTAAGCTCTGAGCTGTCTCTCCAGCCCGCATGTCAGTTTTGTGTGCAGTAACAGCACAGAACAGGTTCTCCAAGGCCTCAGGAAAGCTCTACAGACCTCCAAATACCAAGTCTAGCTTGGCGCATGGATAAACTGTGTCCTCTGAGAAGCTTTAAGGGAGATTTCCTGTTTTACAATCTTATGCATGTCTATGCATTGTTCAACAGACATACAATGAAAATGAAATTACAAGAGTCATGGGAAAGGACATTTTCAGAGAGCAAAGGCTTACATAACCCAAGTCTGTTGACCCAAACAAAAACCCAGTAGTTCTATGCTCCCTTGGCAACGAAACTCCTTCTTCTCCTGTATATGTCACCAACTAACAAGGTATGGTAGTGCAGGCCTATAGTTTTAGGACTCAGTTTAGTGCAGGCTGGTTTTGAGTTGGCTAGAGAGCAATTTCCAGGACAGTCTCCATTATGTACAGATTGTCTAAAACAAATTCTAGTCAAGGGGTAGGCTTAAAATTCATCTAATTAAGTTCAACTTACTGATTTATTAATGAACTTTATTATTAGCTAATTGATTAATATTGAATTGAGCAATGACATCAGTGAAAAACAATTCATACAACTGAAAATGACTATGTCTTTAAGTTAACACTGATAGCTTTAAGAGAGACAGAAAGCTCAGACTGACTCTTGCGAGATGCTACATTGGTAGGATTCTTCCGAGACTAAAGTCCAGTGTACTGTCTTAATAATTTAAATTTTCACTTTTGAAAATTCATTTTGTTAGTCAACTGAGGAATGATCTTGGAGATAATCTATTATGATCTAGTTTATAAAAAAACCAATAAATAGGATCAAATTCTCATTTATATCACTGTCCAGAGAGATATACCCCTTAAGTAAACTGAAACATATGTTTATTTGCTGTCTATACTTCATCCTTACGGTAGATAGAAAACTTCTGAAACTATTTGAATACTAGAACCGTGAGTATAATTTTTTTTTTTAAATCAAGTCTGGGTCACCTACTTCCTGAACTGACCCAACCGGGGTGGCACACAGGCCCATGCTTGCTGATCAGTAGTATGGGAGAAGATTCTGGTAAATTCTGGTTGCGGTTATGGTTTTCAATATTTGTTACTAGTCATAAAAACAACCTCCCTATCCAATCATTTCTGTATCTGATGTGTGTAGTTGAGGCAGCTAAGCATAGAGTGTAGCTTACCAGCTGGAGATGCCACCTACACAAACACCTCTTGTAACCTGTCTTTGATGGTCATTAAAGAGAGGAGAAACTTACTCAATTGTTTGGGATTGGTTGTATGTGCGATGGGAGTCCTAGGTTGCCAGCAGGCTGCTAAGAGCATCATTACAAGAGGGGTCTGGAAGATTCAGTCATACTCCAAGTATACCATAGCATCCACCCTGAACTAGTTTTGGGTGCGTACACAGTAACACAAACTGGGTCTTCTGAGGCAACTTTTAGGAAGAATCCTCTATCTACCATCTTAGGTTTGAGCATAGTTAGGCGTGTGTACAGTTGAACTGGATGCACACAGAAGGGACATGCCTAGTGAGCAAAGGCTTACATAACACAAGCTTGTCAATCAAAACAGAGAACTACAACAATTTGTTCCCCTTAGCAACAACTCCCCCCTTCTCTCGAATCCCATAAAAACACAACATTACCAGGGGAGTTTCAGTACTTTCAGTACTTTTTGTTTTGATTTGTTTTTCGAGACACTCCAAAGCTGTGTAGCTTTGGAGCCTATCCTGGCACTCACTCTGGAGACCAGGCTGGCCTCGAACTCACAGAGATCCGCCTGCCTCCCGAGTGCTGGGATTAAAGGGTGTGCCACCAACGCTCGTCGATATGCTCAATTTTTAAGTTTAATTAAACTATCATCCCTTCAAACTTTGGGCTCCCTTACAAATATTAACACCCTCCCCGTCCCCCCAGAAGCCCAGGGACTTGGACAGCTTAGTTAGAATTCTGCTGCCACCTAGTGGTCCTTGGCCACTTCACGTCTCCATCTGTTCACAGTATGCAGGCTAGGAAGCAGTCAAGGGGCACCAAGAGAGAGTTGGAAGATTTGAATATTAGCACCCAAAATGTCTGGAACTCACCATAAAGAAAGGAAAAGGGCATTAGGTATAAGAAATACAAAAATGTAATATTTTGATCGCGCTCTTGACAATAGAGGAATGTTAAAGTGGGGGATAATTAATATCAAAGGAGTGGCTATGGTTGCATATGGACAAAAAAAGACCAAAGAAGGTTCTCAAAGTTGAAGGCCAAAGAAGTTATAACAGCACACACATTCCTCACTCAGGTGTGTTTGTTTTTATGATCCATGTTTCAGTGCTATTGTTTAAATCTACAAAAAGTTGATCGAACTGACTTGGATGTCAGAAACTAGTGGTGACTCTAAGGCTGCGTGCGGTCAAGACAACAACTTCGAACTAGGCAGCTTAACTAAGTGAGACAGTTTCAAATACTTGGTTTTCTAAAGCCAAGCAGCTATTTCCAGTCTTCCAAAGCTGTCTCTAAGTACCTCCATTGGGTAATTCCCTGCACCTGGTACTTACTGCCTAAAACTGACACATACACTTAGCAATGTCCTTCTCACCTTCACTGTTTAGTCTCCCTAGGAAATTTCTCCATGCAAGATTTCCAGAATTTCAAGAATCCTGAATCCAAGGTTCACACACTCCAGACCATGGAGGGTTCCCTGAAATCATATGAAGAAATTTTCTAACTCTCTTCCACCCACTTTAAAAAAGCAAATTCTTAAAAGGATTGTGTCCCATGAATATAGAGAGAGCCCTTGCTTTGGGCAATGGGACTTCCTTTGATCCCAGGCAAATGTCTGTGTTTCCCCAAACCCATCCTCCCTTCTGAGCTCATGAGTTGCTACTGAGAGCTATTCTTCCTCAGGCTTCTCTTAAATTTGGAATTGATAGATATTTGCTTCCTGGCTACTTTGTTTTTGACCTTGAGAGTCTTTAGTCAGTCTGGAGGAATTCCTTTCTTTACTTCCCAAAGGCAAGATGATTCCTAGAGACTTCTTTCATTCCTTGGACTATGTTTCTGCCAACTGTGAGTGTCAGTGGGCATAAGAAACAGCACCACAGTGTTGCCTAGCAGCCCAGGAGTTCTTCCAGAGACTACTATTCACACGGAACTACAGAACTTGAAAGTCAACCCTTTGATACTGCTCCCACTTAATACTCCTCCCTTGTCAAGACCTCTAACTCAAAAATTACCTCAGCTCCCCAAATCTGTATTTCTTGTACCTAATAATGCCCCCCTTTCCTGTTGACTTTGCTACAGGAAAGAATTTGAGTGTGAGCCAGTAGAAAGTAAAGTTGGGCTGTATTGAGAACTTGGGGCTGGAGATGTAGCTCAGTTGGTTATTGTTTGCCTAGTGCCATGGCCTTGCCTGGCTCTGGGGACAGACCTAACTGAGGGCAGCAAGGGAATGATGAAAAGACAACACACACAGACACACAGAAAAGCTGGCTTTCAGGTGAACTGAGATCTCTGCTGGAGACATCTCAGAACTCCAGAAGCTCACTGTGTTTATTACATCCACCTGAACAAGGAGGCAGGGTTATGGCATACATCTGGTTCAGGGGGCAGGTTTGGCTGATCTCAGTAGGAGCGGTCTCTGTAGGGGAGCAGAGTTCAGGCTGTCAATGTCCAGTGGGAGGATGACGCTGTGGTGAACATTTTCTGCTCATACTGTCAGCATCCACATGTGGACCCGAGAGGAAGCTTTCCCACTTCCCTGTGAGCCTCAGGCAGGGGAGAGGGGAGAAGCTTTGCTGGGTTTGAGGCCCGGGTCCCTGACATGGTTGCACCCATGTCAACAGCAGCACAAATTCACTCAGGACATCACTCACTCGGGGCTTCCTCCACTCCTCACACCCCAGAGTGCATGCACAAAGTCTTGGATTTGCTCCCCGGTACTTCATAAACTGGGTATGCGGGCAATCCTAGTGTTCAGGAAGCAGAGGCAGGAATATCAGGAGCTTAAGGGCATCTTCAGCTACACAGCTCGTGTAGCCTGTGCCAACCTGGGATAAAGACCCAGCTGCAAGAGAAAGAAAAGGAGGAGTTGTAACCTAGATTTAAGAAAAGGTCTTAATAAAGAGGCATTTAGGGAAAGGACACTCTAAATGTGGAGCTGGGCTTCTCACATTTAATGGTTTGGTTGTTAAGAAACTTTTTTTTGCAGTAAATGAGTTCATAGGGTGGATCCATAGGTCACAAAGTCAAAGGAATTCTTACTATATTAAACCAAAAGGAAATTGTGAAACATGATTTTCCTGTTAACAAGGTGGTACACGGTCTTGTTTGTGAGAGTCTCAGAAAATTGCAGGATGGGAAAGCAGTAAGGATTTATATATTCAGGCTTTGGGCACGGGTCACTGATATTTTAACATTCTTACTGAAATATCTCCACATAAAATGAATAGTGTCTTTATAGTACGATAAATAAAAGACCCAGAGACTGGTTCAAACTTCAAGCTGAAGATCAGAAAAGCAAAGCAGCGGGCCACTAGCTCTTACCTCTACCTCAGGCTGAAAGGCAACCCTGGCTCCTCCAAACCTCAGACTGCTCTCAACGTGGCTAGAGAATCCTGAGATTGAACACCCACCCTGAGAGTTTGCTCCTGTCTTATATTCCTCCCTAATGCTGGGATTAAAGGCCTCTGATCTGTTACTTTTTTAGACAGATTGAATCTGGCGTAACCCTGGGTGACCTTGAACTCAGAGAGATCCATCTGCCTTTGTCTCCTGAGTCCTGGAATTAAGGGTGTGTACCGCCACTGTCTCACCTCTATATCTTGAGGCTGACTTTGCTTTCTGAATCCTCAGGCAAGCTTCAACAAGTCATAATTAATATATCATCACATGTCTTGATGTAGACAACTTTCAGAGGACACTTTAGTTTTGGTGCTAGGACTCCCAGCTTGTGCCACTCCCAGCTTTGTACAAACCTGGGGATTGAACCCAGGGTCTCATGCATCTAGACCAGCACTCCATCAGCCGGCTCCACCCCTACACCTTTGGTTCTGATTTCGCAGGCTAAATTTCTTTGGAGTTTTGTTTTCCTTTGCTCCGTCTGGTTTGGGTTAGCAGCCACAACTTGCCATTGACTCACTCCTATCTTCAAGCCAAAGGAAGTTCTGAGTGAGTTTTTTTTCATGTGATTTTTTAATAGACCAAAATAAAGGACGTTTTGTAATCATCAAGTTCCATCTTGTTGGCTTCATTGTCTCATGACTGACTTTAACACATTACTATCCTGCCCCATCATCACACTATGTATCTTCTTCCAATTAGATCAATTTTCCAATTACGACCATTATTGAATAGATTGCTAAAATGTTAAATAGGACAGGCAGTAACACAGAGCCCTGTGATTTGGCAAAGTTTGAAAGAAACTAATTTATCACTACTCTTTGGATATGGTTATTTAATGGTATGAATTCACCTAATCTATAATCTAGGGCCTATTATTATATGTTTTTATCATAGAAATGAAGGATCTTTCCAAATGCCCGTCCAAGTTCACACACTAAGTTTATGCTACTTTTACGCCTTCATCCAGGCTATAAGCGTATCAAAATGAAAAGAAATCTACTGTAGGGTGACTTACATTTGTGAATATCATATTCATCAACATCTGAAATATAGAGCCCCTCCTCCTACCTTAGGAGAACAAAGAAACATATTACAGTTCTCAAAAATTCTCTTCTGTGGTGGTGTCACCAATAGCTGGTGATTGGGGAGGAGGGACTTCTGGAAGACTAAGAAGACAGAAGGAGATAGCCACCCAAGATTGGGAAAGAGGAAAAGGTGTCGAATAATGACCAAGAAGAACCAAAGTTCATTTGAGGTCAGTGGTCCTAAGTTTAAAGCAAGAGCAGTTGGCATGGGTTTTCTTTTTGTGTGGCTGCTTGGGTTCAGGTTCAAAATGAAAGGGATTTCAATATCCTACACTGTATATCCACTGAATGTCCTTCATCATATACACTTTATCAAACTGCTTCCAACGTGTAATTTTGCTCCAAGATGACTTATAGGAATTTGCTAAGAAATATTTCCTTAGGAACATAATCTAGCATCCCAAGTCTTAAGAGCAGCTCTGAATGTAAACTTATTTGGGGATAAGGTCATTGCAGCTGACTAAGATAAGAATTTGGAGATGAGATGGTCTGAGATTGAGGGCATGTCCTAAATCCAACGACTGTGGTCTTTGTAAGGGAAAGGGGAGGATTTGTGGCACCCGAGGGTGGTGTGAAAATGGAGGGCAGAGATTTCAATGCTGTATCTGCAAGATCCAAGTTTTCTAGACACCCCCAGAAACTAGGAGAGGGCGTGGGACAGTTCTCCTTTATCCACCCCCCCAACAAACAACCTGCTGACAGTTTGATTTCAGAAACTGTTTTACTCAACTGAGAATAGACCTCTGTTGCTGTGAGGCATTGGTTTGTAGCAATTTATTACGGTAACCCCAGAAGCTGAGACAGGGAAGCCACTCATACTTCTGTGAAGTGTAAAGAAAATGGTTTTTGTGGTGGGGGGAGTGGACAAGAATGTTTTCTTGGGGCCAGGAAAGGAGGCTGGCACCATCTGAGGTTCCTGAAACCTTATGACATTTCCGGCAGGATCCCTCTAGAACTCCGTGACTCCTCCAGAAGCCACACACAGAGACAGCCTGGAAACCCTGCAGTTGTTCTGAGCCCATTGTCCCATTTCCATGAAAGTATTTGCAAATATTTTGTTCTCCAGGAAGTCGTATCCCTATGACTTACTCAGCTTGCTTCTGCCATCCTGAAGCAGCTTACAGAAAGTCTGTACTAGGTCTGTCCTGGAGGAAGGCAGCCTCCCACACATCTGGGTGTCTCTGGGTTCTTGACTCGTCACATCGGGAATGAGAGGAGTCTGCAGCCAGCACCACACTCTGATGCTTCTCTTCATGGATGCCTTACCTGAATCTAGTTTCTGTCTCAGGTGCCCTCAGCCTCCTCAGGGGTCCCTGCTCATCCTTAAATACTTGTCTCAAGATCTTTTGCTTTCTCCCTGCAAGTGAGACATTAACTATAGTTTCTTTCATTCTCGAAGAATTGTGGATTTCTATTAAGAACTTACTAAAGTCTATTATGGCTTACTTCTTTCATTTATTTCATTTTATTATGTCCACCTGAAACACTGGAAGAGTTCTCCTGACTTAATGACTCTCTGGACCTTAGCCTAGAACCCAGCTTTTTGTATAAGCCAAGAATCTACAACAACCACCTTTGAAGTTTTTTTTTTTTTTTTTTTATAAAACATGCAATTGCGGTGATTTAGTTTCTTTTATTTACTTGGCATCTCAGGTTTATTCAAATTGCACAAAGAAACAAAGTGACATAGAAATTAGTGTGTCTCCCATCAAAGAATTCAGCAGAGAACTCCAAGGAGATTAATGCTTCACCACTATGATGAGGGAGTCTCTTGTCTACAGATGGAAATGACATTGTCATCCCCAAGATCACTAGCTCCTTACACACATGGCAGGTGGGTTCTTCTATTTGAAACCAGCTTAGCAGAAGCTTCCCAGAATTCATCGCCTAAGAAGCCCGCTGAGCCACATTCCCCCTATCTGGTCAATGCAGAAAGCTGAAGCTAAACCACCCGATGCTATTGTTCTGTGCTTGATCCAAATGCCCCCTCCCGCCGTGTTTCACTTGGGGTCACCTCTGGAGTATTTTGCATTTAGAAACATTCAAATGAATCCTTAGCTGTATTCAAACAAAGTTAGATGTTGTTCTAAGCATCTATGTGAGTATGCTCTCAGGGAAATGGAAAAGCTTTCCAGTAAACTAGAGCTGGGGGCAGAAACATTAAAAGAAGTTTGGGGGAGGTAAGCAGTATGTTCCTGTGGGACTAAAACCATGGGAAAAGGCTACAGACTTCTTTTATGATTCAGGTTTAGATTTATAAAAGAGTAAGAAAATACATGAGTCACCCGCCTCAGTCACCATCATCACTATCTCTAAATCAAAAACTGGCCAAGAGTCACAATGAAAGCCAGACCCCTGTATACCTACAGATGTTGGCACTAGAGACTCTTCCCAGCAAGGCTTTCCTCCAGTGTCTAGCACCCATCACATAATACCCCTCAGCTTATTAAGACCCTCATAATCCAATAAAAGAATCTCACCTAATTTATGACCATCTTCCCATTTTAATGAACATGAGCTTCTGTCATGTCACATAGACAGATAACTTGTTCTCCTATCACCCCCAACACACAAACCTCCTAGATTGGGCCCTTCCAGATAGCAAAGCCTAAAATAATAGCACTAAAGGCATGGCTAGTGAGTACTGTCAGTTCTTCCACATACACACTGTATCCAGAAATATCCTTGGGACTTTTCACACACTGGTTCCAGACTGAAACTAAAGACAAAACAAAAGCCCACGTGTCTTTTAGTCTAGTTGGGCTAGCTGGGTGATAGGAGCCAACTTTGGACCCAGTTCCTCTGGCATGACATTTTCCCTTCCTGCCCCCACACAAGGGACCTTAAAGGAGCATATGTTGTTCTCCCCAACACCTTTTTAAAAAGCATCAAGAATATCCTTTCTTTCCACACAGGATCCTCGCATGCTCCTCCTTAACCCCAGGTACTAAGCCCAATCAGGCTAATAGATGGCCCGAGAAAACAAGCCTCCCCTCTCAAAAGACATGAGGACAGGCCAGAGACGCTCTACAGAGCATACACAGCAAGAGAACACACTAGCTTTCTTATCAATGAGAAATTAGTACCTATATGGAAAGAAAATTGTTTTCTTGTGCTAGAACAACAAGAGAAAGTGCCAACATGTTATGGTGCAGTATCATGCAGCAGTACAAAGAATGAGTTGCCATGTCAGTACATGGAATGATGCCAATGAATGTTAAGAAGAGAAGCCGGGTATACACTATAAATTCCACTTATATTAAGTTATAGAATAGGTAAAAAAGATAATGTATGGTGTAAAATTACTGCTTGAATTTGGGGTTAAGAGATGGACCTCAAGGGAGTACTCTTTCTCATT